TGTGAGGCATACCAAAAGGTGTCAGGTCGCCAGGCCTGAAAGTACTCACCTGTAATCCTAACTCCTAACATGAAGCAAGAAGGTTATAAGTTAGAGGCCAGCTAGGGTACCTACAAGAGCCTGTTTATATTAAAAAAAAAAAAAAAAAAAAATTAAGTGCTGAGTTGGTTCTCTTCTGGCTGCCCACCCCTGATGGGGGGGGGGAGGGGGGCGCACAGACTGAACTGGAGTCAGTCTAGGATAAATTGTGGGTGGGAGCACTGTCTAGTGCCCAGCCATAGGCGCAAGGTGTGTGGGGGCAGTTTCTAATGGAGATAGGTTCTTTTGTGTTTGTTAAAAGTAACAGACATTGAATCTAGGACTTCATGAGTGCTTGGCAAGCGGTCTACTACCAAGCTATATGTCCAGCCTGATCTTAACTCATTGAGACAGGCTCACCAAATTACCCAGGCTGACCTTGAACTGTGAACTTTCAATCCACCGGCCTAAAATATACTTTCTTCTGTGAAATGAACGATGCCAGTAAACTAATCGATGGTAGTACTTTTAAAATATCTTCACCAGCAGACAAATTATCAGCTGGTAATCCTACATCAGTCCCCAACTTTATTTTTCCTGGAAACTTCTCAGCTCTAAAGTCCAAAGTCTACAATTTCACTGCATCAAATTAAGTAAACACACTTTTTCCCCAAAGGCAAGACTGGAACCTTTGGATTGGCAGTCTGATTGTAGCTTAACTCCAAGGGATAAACCACCAGAAACCTAGAAAGGTCTTTCTGGACTTTTTTTTTTCCCTTTTTTGAGGCGGGGTGTCATTCTGTAGCCAGCCTGACCTCCAACTCTTTATGGCCTTCCACTAACCCCCCACCAAAGTGCTGAGATTCCTACAGGTGTGAGCCTCCAGGCCAGGCAGAGAATTACTTTCATTAGAAATCTTGCTTCTAAACCATTAAGCCTTAAGCTTCGGTGACCCCTGATTAAACACATAAGGAAGTGAGGTTTCATAGTGTAAAGGCCAGGAGAGGTGTGGTGGGGCGCGCCTGTAATCCCAGCCCTGGAAGGAGGCTGAGGCCAGAGGATTTTGAGTTCAGCTTGTTGTACATAATGAATTCCAGGCCAGCCTGGGCTACAATGTGAGAGAAACCCTGTCCTAAAACTAAAAGCAGAGTCAGCTGCGAGGTAACCCAAGAGAAGCAGTGCTTAATACCCACAAATCAGTCCTTAAACTATTTTATCTCCCGTGGGATGACAACCACTTTGCCTAGTGGCTGCACGTCTGGAGAGAGTTCATAGCAAGTCTTTCGCCCTCCTACTCAGGTTTAAGGAATTGCAGAGTTCCAGTCCTGTGATCTCCATTCTTTGGAGGGCATCCCCGTGGTGTGAAGAGCATTCGGCAAGCCGTTTTACCTGTACGGATCTTGGGTTTTCCCAGACACCACACCGACCTCCACCACAGCCCCTAAAGAAGGAAGACTGGAGTAGCTCATCTTGCCAGTCTCTCCCATTTTTGACAATGAGGCTGCTAACAGGGGGCAGAACTTGCTAGTGAGAAAGCGAACGTTTGTCTTGGCTTCTCTCCAGGGAGAGGATTCTCCTGGGCGGCTTTCCGAGGAGGCGCTCAGGGAGGGAGGTAAATAAAAACTGGCTGACATTCGCTCAGTCCCCCACGGCACCGGGGGGAGACCACGGCCCCGTTCCCCACCTTTCCCGTCTCGATGCAGGCTAGGAAACCAAAGGAGCCCGGGCGGAGCCAGAAGCTTCCGCGGATGGTCTGCGGGGCTCAGGGCGCTCGCTGCCAGCAGCCCTGCCCTGCGTTCCAGCGGGTGGGTGTGCCCCGCCCCGGGGTCCTCCCCAAGGACGGGGTACACCCGCCCGCTTCTTCAGTTCCCTTCCCAATCAGACCAGAACTCAAATTGGGGTGCTTTTTTTTGTTTGTTTGTTTCCCCCCTATCGGCCAGCCCCGCCAAAACTTCCAGAGCGTCCCGCCCACTCCACGTGGACCTCCCTTCCCTGTCCCAGCAAGCCCTGCGAGAACCACCCCCGACACGTGGTCAATTGTTATGTTTCCTTCCTCGGGCTCCCTTAGAGCTGGCATGAGCCAGCCACTGAACAAATGCGCCCTCTTCAGGGTGACTTTGGGGCGGCAGCCTGGGCTTGGGTGAGTTACGGCGAGGTCACCTGACTATAGGATAATGTGGAAGATGACTTTATTGATACCCACATAGTTCTCTGGTTGAAGACGAAGGGTGGGGGCCCGACGTTGTGGAGCAGGCAGGGGATCTGTGAGTTCGAGACCAGCCTGGTGTACATAGCGAGTGCCAGACCAGCCAAAACTACACAGTGAGACTCTGTCAAACAAAACCAAAAAAATAACTTCAAGGGTACACAGAAGACGTAATCCGGGCTGATGGGGAGGTTGAAGAGGGTAGCCACATACAGGCCAGTCTGGGCTATTCCAGCCACACCCTGTTTCAAAATAGAAAAAAGGGTTGAGAGTGCAGCTCAGTGGTAACATTGCAGAATGGTAGGGTGCAGGAGCTGGGGCCTCTACATTCAGCCCCCAGTGCCCTCTCTAGAGACAGGAGAGAGTCACCATCAGTGAAAATTGTCTTGGTGTGGAGTTAGCAAAGTTTGGTTACCTTTATTCCAACTCCTTTAGACTTCATAGTGTTGATGAAGAGCTGAGAGAGAAGCATTCCCTAATTATGACCTGGGTTAGGGGTGCAGTGCCTCTCCGAATTGGGTGGACGGTTCCTAAAGGACTTCCCCAACAGCAGCACTCTCAAGTAGTTCTCTACACGAGCTCAGTCAGACTGGTCAAGCTAACAGGTTTGTAAAACAGGATCTCCCTGTCAGCATTAGGAGCACTAGCTTTGAAAGGAAAGAGCCCCAGGGGATGGTGGCTGGAAGGAGGAGGAGGAGGCACACAGTGAACGCCCCCACCCCCACCCATGGTGGCCCATGCTTTTAACCCTAGTACTGAAGAGACCGCCAGATCTCTGTGAGTTTGAGGCCAGCCTAGTCTACATAGCCAGTTCCAGGACTACATAGAGAGAACCTGTCTCAAATAAATAAATAATAATAAAGAGTTGGACGGGATTCTTGTGCTCATTTATCCTGATTTGAGGTCTCTGTCTTCTCGACACTCGGCTTCTCAACTTATTTGGGGGAAAATACCTTGAGCAAAATACAGCGGCAAGAATCTCCCATTTCCTGTTCTAGAAATAAAAGAGTTGGATGGGGAATTGAGGTTGCAGAATTGGGGAGGGGTGGATGGTGGACAACGTTCACAAAAAGATAGGGCTGAGTGGTGTGGGAAAGAAAGGGTAAATTTAGTAGGCTGGCATGGTGGTGTGAGCCTGTAGTCCCAGCCCTAGAGAAGCTACGGCAGGAACGGGGCCAGAGGGGATGGAGAGATGGCTCATTGATGGGTCTTCCAGAGGAAGAGTCCCAGCACACAGGCAGCTCACAACCACCTGTGACTCCAGTTCCAGGGGATGCAGTGCCCTCTTCTGGCCTCTGCAGGTATCGGCAAGCTGCCTCTACAGACCCAGTTTAAAAACAGAAGAAATAAATAAAAATAAAATTGCAATCATTGTGGGCCTATTTGTGGTTCCAAGGTCACAGAAGTCATAGCCCAAGAGCTACAAGCCTGGAAGCCCAAGGAAAGGGACCCTGTTGTGGCCAAGAAACACATAAGACAGGGACACGTTAAGGAATGAAGTGAGGAACTGTGGGAAAAAATGGGTGGAGTCCTGAGACCCCACCACACCCGACCACAACCCTCCCCCCTTTTCCTCGTGCCACTATTAGCTCAGACCAGCCTTGAACTTGCAGTCTTCCTGCCCTGACCACTCAAGTGCTGGGACTGTCACGCTTGGCCTGGAGCACCTACTTTTAAGGGAAAGAGTCCCAAAGCGATCATCAAGTCAGAAGACTGGCGGGGCCATTTGCTCTCCTATAACTCAGCATCTGTCAACGCTCCCATTACCAGGTGCTATTTCCAGAGTCCCGGGCTTAGGCTGAGGAAAAGGGAGGGGCAGAGACATCTAGGCAGAGGGAGACCCAAAGAGCGCCTCCCCCCGCCCCCGCCCCCACCCCGTCCAGCTGCAGTTCCCGCTTTTAGCCACTCGGGGGCGCCCAAGCTCAACCAGAGTAAGTGGGAGAGAAAACATGGGAGCTGAAGTGGCTTGTAGAGGACAACTTGGGACGTCAGGGATGACCCTGAACGGAGAGCTGATACAAGGACCCTCTGCTCTGAGGCTGCAGGCCCCCGGCATAGCTGCCGGAAAGCATCCCATCTCATCTTCGCTAGAAGGGGCTCGTGACACTGCAGGTTATCTCCACCTTTCACCCTCACCTTGCACACTAGGGTCACTTCTTCGCTGACTTGTGTCCTTCCCCCTCCCCCTCCTCCTGTGGGAACCATCCCACACAGCCGGTCAGAAGGTTGAGGAATGCTCTGCCTCGGCTAGGTGCCAAGCCGTGGACTTCCTGGGCTTTGGGGTGGGGCTTGGCGAAGGGAAGCCCTTTGGACACAGAGCCACCCAGTCTTGCAAGCCTGCCTCCCCTCCCCCCACCCCCTCTCTCCGCTAAGTGAAAGGCTCTGAAGTCACTCTTTGTGACCACAGTCTAATTTCCTTCCCCCACCCCAGTAGGGTTTCCTAGCCTGTGCAAAAACATCTACAGTCTGGGAGCGGGTGGTCACCCTGTGGCTCACCATGGGTCGGGGAGGCGCCTATTTCAGGATCTGCTTTCCCTGTCTGGAAGGAGGGATTCGGTTGTCAAGGTCTCGGGCCATCAGTTATTAATGGCAATTCACCCCCCTCAAGTTCCTTCGCAGAACCTTGGGTCTAAAGTCTCTATATGATTAAACCTAGGAGTAAGCTGATTTCTGAGTACCTGACCTTGACTCAGCCTCCATTTTCCCCGAAACAAATCAGCTGAAATCTGAACTCACTCACGCAGCTCAAGACCAAGGAGATCTTTGCAGCCCGATGCAGCTGGCTGGGATGCGTTTATCGAGAATGAAGAGACTCAAACAAAAGCAAAAACCCACTTTCAGATCCCTGACAGGGGTCTCTCCGTCCTACTGAAGGGGCTCACTGCTCAAAACTTCTGCATTTGTGGGAGGAGAATCTTCTGATCTGTCCACCAAGGCCCTGGTAGGAAAAATGAGAATTCGGTCTGGTGGCCGCCCCCTGCCTCACAGATCCCCAGTGACCCTCACAGATCCCCAGTGCCACTTCTGCAGCCAGTCTGCCTGCCGTCATCATCTACAGACCTGTGCCTGATCCCCAAGCTGCTCTCTGGAAACTTCAGCCCCCACAGCCCAGGCCTAGGGGAGAGCCGATGTAGGTCACTGCAGCTGAGCCTGCAGGTATCTCTGCTCCAGGCCCAGAGCCTTTCAGGCCCAGAGGAAGTCTTGCAGAGAAGCAAAAGAGAGCGCTCCGTGAGATTCAGACAAAAATCTATTGCTCAGAACAGAAATCAGGGAGAGTGAAGGAGTCTGTCACTGGAGCCCTAGCCTGCAACCAGCTCCCCTGTGCTGGAGGGAAAGCCTGAGAGGCCTGGGCACGCTCCCGGTCCTGGGGTCCTGGGGTCCCCCTTCTTGCTTTCTTTGCCTACGTAAGGAGACTCCGCTTCTGGTGGCTATCCTCCACTCCCCAGTCACATTCCAGGCTCAGCTTTCATTCTCAGGAACCTTTGGGATTTACCTTTGAGACCCTCTGGCCACAGCTTTGGGGTCTTGGAATAGGCCAGTGCTATCCCCGCCCTCCCCTATTGAAAACCTTTTCCTGCCCGTTATCTGCTAAACTCATTTGACCTGGGGAACTTCCAACCCTCTCATCCCTTCTCCTGGCTCTTCCTCCCCTTACGCTGGAGAGATCTAAGCAAGATGACTTCGGGCACATGTGTGCTCATGCATTAGCTTCACACAGAGCAATCAAGGGTCTATGGCTAAACCTAGCTCAAGATCCCCAGGCCCTACAAAAACAGGCCCCATTGTCCATAATCATCTGTAACTCAGTTTTAGGAGACCCAATGCTCTCCTGGCCTCTACAGACACCAGCCATGCACGCAGTACACAGACAGGCCAAACACTGCTACACATAAAATAAAATAATAAAAAGAAACGAGAGAGGGTGGTGGTGGTGCACACCTTTAATCCCGGCAGAGGCAGGCGGATCTCTGTGAATTCAAGGCGACCCTGGTCTACGGAGTGAGTTCCAGAACAGCCAGAAATACTCAGAGAAATCTTCTCTCAAAAAAACAAAACAGCTGGGTGATGGTGGCGCACCCCTTTAATCCCAGCACTGGGGAGGCAGAGCCAGGTGGATCTCAGTGAGTTCAAGGCCAGCCTGGTCTGCAGAGCAAGATACAGGGCAGGCACCAAAACTACACAGAGAAACCCTGTCTCAGAACCCCCCCCCCCAAAAAAAAAAAAACCCAACAACAACAACAAAACCCAACACCACCATAAAAATAAATAAGGGGAAAAAGTCTACCTCTAGCCAAAAAGAAAAAAGAAAAGAAAAAGAAAAATTCCAATAATGGGCTTTTCTTTTCGTGGGAGGGGGCATTGACTTGTTCTTTGTCTGCTCGCTTTAGAGAAAGGGTCCCACTGTGTCGAGTAGGCTGGGATCCACCTGCCTTTGCAAACTCCCGAGTGGAGTGCAGGGACTAAAGGTGTGAAGGTCCGGGGTCTGCCACCTCATCTGGTCTCAGTGCTGGGACTTGAAGCCAGAGCTGCGTCTTCAGCCCCTCTAATCAGCTGTTTGAACAGGAAACTCAGAACGCAGGTGTGGGGGGGGGAAGGGGAGGGAAAATGGAGGATCTGCTCTTCTGGTTGCTCCGTTCTTCCTCCAGTACATTCTCCTCCCCTTTGAGAACCCAGCAACTCACCACCCTGCTACTGTTGTGGCATTTGCCCTCATTACCAGAATCCTGGCACACAGGAGGCACTCGATAAATGGGTTTTGTACAGAGTCAAACTAAATCTGACTATGCTTCCTGGCTGAACTCTGAGATGTTGCCCCACATTGGAGAAAGGTAAAAATATCCCCAGATCATGGCTAGATCTCCCGGAGAGGACTCAGACCTAGAGCTGTGTTTCCCTCTGACAATAAATCCCCTGGTGGGCGTCCTAAACCAGACTCCTGAGCTGTCTGTCGTCCCCAGCGTTTTGAGAGTCAGCGAGCCTCTCTCTGGTGGGCCTAAGAATGTGCATTTCTCACAGGGTTCCAGGTAACGCTAATAATCTCCACATTACTGATCTGAAAATCATTGCCGCGGTGAATCCCAGCCCCTCACCTCAATATTCACCACGAAGACCTGGCTGGTCCCAATTTTATATGGGAGGAGGGAAGCGGGGAGCATCGTGAGCACCTCACTTTTGCGCCGACCCTCCACCCTACGCGGTAAGGGCAAGGCATGTCAATCCAGAACTTGATTGTCTGTGCTCTTTTCATTTAGCCCGTTGACTCTACCCTTATTGAAAGTCACTTCCCCCAAAACATGTTTTGCTACAGCGAGGGAGCACTAGGAATTTCCTGTGGCTAGGCAGCCCAGTGTCTGCAGGGGTGGAGGCAGCGCCGCCGCCGAGCAATCCAGTCCTTCCCTTGGCTCGGGCAGGGCCACGTGCCCCACCCCCTCGCTCGCACATGTCTCCGCCGCCACCGCCGCAGCAGCCAGGCTGTTTATGAGCGAGTTGTTGTGGGAGAAATGGAGCAGGCTGCACATGCCCGGGCCATGTGACCCGGGCGGCCCGCGTGAGCTCCAAGACGGCACAAACACACTCGGCCCTGTCCTCCAGTGGCCGGGGAAGCAGGAGGGATCGGCGGGGGAAGGAGGGAAAGGCCACTGGGCCGCCTTGTTGTCTGCTGCCCTGTATTCGGCTGGTGTCCTTTTTTCTCTCTCTCTTCTGAGCCACCGGGAGCGCAGTCATCAGCGAGGCAGCTTGGTCACCTCCCAGACCGCCCCTCGGCATTTACAGTCCTCAGAGCCTAGATTCCCCCAAATAACACAGGGCCTGTCCAGGTCAAGAGCCCAGCATCTCTCACCCCAGCCTCCTTAGGATGTGGGGTCCTGGCCTCCAAGCTGAGACCTGCTTTCCCGGCAGCCTGGGCTCCCCAAACCAGGCTTTCCTGGTCCCCTCTTTCTAGGAAGGCGGATGTCACACATTGGTGTAGCTAGTGTTCACTCCAGGATTAGAACAAGGAGAATCAGGGATCTGTGAGTCGGGGACAGGAAGCTAAGAACATGTCTGCAGCAGGGGTCTATGGAGACCGTGGATTGGAAGGGGGAAGTCCCTTTGGTAGTCCGTGGTGAGGAGGAGCTGGAGACCTAGAAAGGCTGTCACACCGACTCCTGTCCAGAACAAGCAACCGGGCAAAAGACAAGTTCGGCTTTCGTCCTCACTGAGGCGTCCCCTCCCCCGCTCACAGGCATTGTAACCCCAGAGCCCCTACTTCCAGCCCACGGCTTCTGCCCCAGCCCACTGGTGACCCTGTTTCTGCACCGCAGTGACTCTTGCTGCGAGGTGTGCTGGAGTCAGGCGGACAGTAGGTTAGCAGGAACAAGCAAATGAAATGAGAACGACCCACATTTCCTCGCACACCAAAAACTTTGCAGATCCTGCATTGCAGAGCTGGCGCTTTTTTTTTTTTTAATCTCTCCTCTGGGCCCCTACACACGTCTGCATTTTTGCAACCAGCACAGATTTTTTTTTTTTTCTTCCAAGGGTGCAAACTGCGCATTCTAATGAGCCAAAGCTCCTTCCTGCCGCATTGAAAATCCCATCAAATTGCCAGCGCTTTCCCCCCCCCCCCATTTAGAAGAGGGGGAAGGATCCTAAATTTGTGAAGTAGCATCTTCTCCCTCCTTCCCCTGCCTCCCTCCCCCATCATCCTGCAGCCCTTCCAACCAACAGCTGCAACCAGTGGAGAAGGGCGGGAGGAGGGACAGAACGTGAGCCTTATTCCTTCTTTCCACACGGGGCGGGGGTTGCTTGCTTTCTTTTTCTGGGAAGCCTACTGCACCCTCCTTTCCCTCCCCAGCCCAGCCAGTGTTTATGTAAGCCTCCCAGAAGCTACACAGGGCCCCCGATGCCTGCCCAGGCCCCAGTTCCTCCCAAGTCCATCCTTCTCACGAGGACTGTCATGAGCCTCCGGCTTCCCTAGACAGCTGCACTGGGATCTGCGAAGGCCCAGAGAACAGGAGAAGCTGGATCAGGAGAGGGTTTGACAAGCCGCTTAGAACGGAGATACAGCAAGCACAGAGGAGAGGCACCCTGCCTTCTCACGCATACGCACACCCCTACACTTCTCTGCAGCTCAGTCCTCAGAGGCTCGACTCGAGGACAGCCAGTGTGCAGGTTCAAGGAGCCTGTACGGGAAGATGGTTTTCACCAGTGGCCTACAGCAGTGGTACAGCAAAGAGCGGCCAGGAGACATCCGCACGACATGTTGGACACTATTGTTCCCCCTAGCTAGGAAGGTGGACTCTTTACCAGATAAAGGGTCACCTTGGGCTTGTCTTGTACTGCTAAGGACAGTCCATGCCACCTCTAGGATCCTGTGATGTGACTAAGATCCTGAGCTCAGAGAAGGGGACTCTCCTCTGAGTTCCCAAAGCATTGAAGTATCATTGATCTTGGATGGTGGCTTTAGGTACACATATCTCAGGCAGATAAATGGGCAAGCCACATTGTCTTTCCTTAGGGTCATGTCACAACTTATATCTGTCCTTGATGGCCTTCCAGACTTTCAGCAAACCCTGCTCATTCATTCATTCATTCATTCATTTGACAGACTGGCTGACCTAGAACTCACTATACAGACCAGGATAGCCTGGAACTCACAGAACTCTGCCTACCTCTACCTCCCAAGCTAGGATCAAAGGGGTGAGGCACCACGCTTGGATGAACCCAGTTTTAATACATCCCTTGAAGGAAGCACCAAGGGGCTCTGAGGGCCCTGGCCTATCAGCCCTTCCCCTATCCATCCATCACCAGCTGGGGACCCCATCATTTAGGGGACTTGAGTGGAGACCTGAGCTCAGATGTCTGCTGGAGTCCCTCACCTCTGGAGGAGCCCATGGAGAAGTTTGGTGTTTTTTTTAGTTGCCTGGTTGGTTTGGTTTTTGCATCCTGTTCTGATTTGTTCCTACCCTGTACAGCCAGACAATGTAGGATGGAGAAAGAGTTTAGGGGAAGAGGAAATGCTGGAGTTGAAGCAGAGGTTCTGGGAAGCTGAGGTTCTTGTGTGGGAGGCATCAGAAGTTTCTCTCCTTGATGCTACACCTCGCTTCCCAGAACCGCCATTGCAGGGGGCTCAGCGGCACCCTCTGCAGTACCCATTCTCTCTGGGAGGGGAAGTCTTGCGGGTTGAACTTCTTCTTCAGGCCTGGCACTGACG